TAAGGTCAGTGGTTTGAAACTACCAGCCGCTTCTCTTGAATGTGAAGCTGATGATGTGCCCTGTAAACTTTCACTCAATCCAAAATAAAAACCTTAAAAAAGAATGTGACACAGATGCAAAATGAGCGCTGTTGGGGAAATGGAACTTATAGACATGCTATATACAGGGTTGCCACAAATCTTGTATTTGTGAAAGATGAAGTATCGACAAAGCACAATAAAGTAAAACTAATTATAATGAGGTAAACCTGTACTCTCTTCCAAATGACCAAGAAAGGAGCTCACTCAGTCACTCTTCTGTAATTGTATCAATGTGTCTGGTCTAGTTCTGTATCCAGGCTGATTTTGTTTAGTGTCAGCTGTTACTGGACCAGTCTAGAGTAGCTGGTGGGTTTCTACACATTGGTTTGTAACTATCCAGGCAAACCTCTGATCCATTAATGATCCTCTGAACTGGGGATGATTTGTCTAGATTATCCTCTGAGATTTGGGTTTATATGGGAGATAGGAAGGAGTCTGAAGTTAAAGCTGTTCCTTTGAGTTTTGTCTCATGTTGTCCTGTGTTTCTACTACAGCGGACAACATGTAGTAAGTTCAGAGCTGACCTGTGCTACCCACTCATCGTCTGTGCCTGTTCTTTGAGCAGTTGCAGCAGTGAGGTGACTACTGTGATCTTTCTGAAGACCCGACGAGGCACACTCACATGTAAGGTGCCTGACTGCACTTAGAGACAAGGCTTGGCCCAAGGAAGTAAGGGTAAAATGGGCCTTTTTAACTTGATACGAAAACAGATTATGCTCTAATTGCCATAATATAATTATACTCATTTTAGAGGAAATTGAGGTAATGTGGTGAAGCAGTTCAGCCTAGTGAATCCAGCTAATTAGCGAGAGCCGGAGTTGGTATTTGCGCTGGAACCTCGGGCCTCCTCTTTTCTGCCTGTTTCTTTCTTGGGTGGCACTTTCATCCATGGACCTGTGGAATCTGATTATGTTTGAATTTCTTTTTTTAAAAATGAGCTTAAAATATTTGGAAAGCATTGTGCTTTCTTAATATACCTTGTTTTTAATTAATATTTTACTTTTGAAAATTATAAAAATGTCATTAGTGTTATGGTACCCTTGTTTTGTTGTTATTTTGAAGTGTTGTTGACTTAGTCCCAACTCATAGCGACCCTAGATATGGTTTTCAAGGAGTGGCTGGTGAGTTTGAACCACCAACCTTATAGTTAGTTAGCTGCTTATCCTACAAGTACCACACCAGGACTCCTTACATCCACATTTTTTCAGATTATACCAAAACACCAGACTCTAAGACATTTTGTAGTCCGAAGCTTTATACTTAGCAGGGTATTTATTATATTTGAGTGTGAGTGTTACGGCGTGGGGAACAGTTCATTAATCTAAAACGGCAAATATCCCAGTGTCCCTTGGAGTGGTCAAAAGAATTAGATATCCACCTAGAACTGATAAGTGTTGTAAAATATAAATTATATAGAAAGTTGCACGCTAATGAGAGATGCCAGGTTTGCCTCAAGGTAGTGTTTGTTGAGGGCAGGGGCTTTGTCATTGACCAGATTAGAATTGTGGCTTTGCTGTTGTATGCTATTGAGCCCATTTCTACTCATAGTGAGTCTGTATGACAGAGTAGAACTTCCCTATAGGGTTTCCTGGTCTGTAATCTTTATAGGAGTAAATCACCAGGATCTTTCTTCCATGGAGCCACTGGGTAGGTTTGAACTGTCAACCTTTCACTTAGCAGCTGAGTGCTTAACCTTTGAGCCTCACGGCCTGTTCCCATCTAGTCGGTTCCAACTGATAGTAATCCCATCGGACAGAGTAGAACGGACCCCCAGGTTTTCCAAGACTCCAATCTTTACGGAAGCAGACGGACACATTACTTTCCCACAGAGTGGCAGGTGAGTCTTAATTGACAACCTTTCTGCAGCCAAGTTCTTAACCCCTGTGCCACCAGGGACCCTATTGTGCAACCAAGGCTCCTAAAACTACTGCAGTTTCCAAGACCTGAACTCAGTTTGCTGAATTTCGAGTCCACAGTGCTAACCTGGAATTCCGTTTCTCACTATTTACCTCACGTACAGCTTCACTTTCCTAATGGTGTCACCAGAGTACCTATGTGCCAAGGTTGTGATTTTGAAATGAGGTGGCTTGTGTGTACAGAGCCTCCTTACATTGCAGGCCAGTTTCTCCCGTGTCTCCATGCTCTGTTGTCTCTTTGTACAGCACTCAGCATCAAGGCCTGAGCAAAGCTGCTCTTAAAGATAATGTTTTAGATGATGCTCTACAAGTAAAATTTTTGAAACAAAGGAGGACTTTTTACTCTTTTCAATAGTGGGACTTACCTAGTTTGCTAAAATAGCTGTGAAAGTAATAAATGTTGAACAGGGGAGAAAATGACAGTTGTTACCGATGGTTTTCAGAATACCAGTGTGAAAATAGCCAAGTTTGTACCTTCTCTATAAAAGTGGCTAAAAATTACCTAAAAAGTTAAAGCTAAAAATGAAACCTTTTTTCTTCTCTCTCTCCCTGCTTTTACGATTACTTTTTAAATATTTTCAGTTCCAGTGGAGTGCCTACTCTCGGTGACCCCAGGAGTAGAACTATGCTCCATAGGATTTTCAGCGCTTAATATCTTGGAGCTCTGGTAGCGTAGTGGTTACAAATCTGGCTGTGAACCTTAAGGTCAGTGGTTTGAAACTACCAGCCGCTTCTCAGGAGAAAGATGAGGCTTTCTACTCCCGTAAAGATTGACACCCTCGGAAACCCTGTACAGGGTCGCTATGGGTCGGAACTGACTCAACGGCACTTAACAACAACAACAACAATATCTTGGAAGTTGATAACCAGGCCTTTCCTCCAAGGATTCTCTGGTTGGAATCAAATTGCCAAACTTCCAGTTGTATACTAGCCAGGGACGCCATTTAAAATGTTACCTGCCATCTTTCTTTACATGATGGGTTTACTGTACACACTCTGGAGGGGGTTTCTCCCCTCCTGCTCCTTCCCACTACTATATCATAAACACACGGGCAAAAGAAAGTAAAACTAGATAGTTAAGACTCCCAGTTGGTTGCATTTTATTTTGAAAAATGTCAGCACTAAATTCATAATCATTTATCAGCAGGGATTTTGAGATTTAAAAAAATGCATTTGAATAGAGATCAAAATTTATTAGTGGTTACTAAGGGTGGGCAGAAGGAAGCAGGAGAGGAAGACACAACACTCAGGGAAAGAGAAGGTAAGGGTGATAAAAACATCCAACAACTGTAATGGTGATGGGAATAGACTCTCAGTCCCTGAACTGTACATGTGAAGATGGTTGCTTGGCAAATGTTTTGTTACTAAACAGTTTTACCATGAAGATCGTTAGAATGTGCATTTGAAAGAGTTGTATTTATTATTGCTCTAACTGTAAAGAAGAGTCCTGGTGTGGCGCTGTGGGCCAATGCGCCAGACTGCAAAGCCATATGAACTGCAAGGTTGGCAGTTCAAGCTCACCACCAGCTGCTCCTCGGAAACCCTACGCAGGGTTGCTATGGATTGGAATTGACTCAACGGCACTTAACAACAACAGCAACAACTGTGAAGACTCTTTTTTATTTTGTTTCTTAATATTAGAGAAAGCGATACAGAACTTGTGCATTTTGTAATTAATTTCCAGGCAAACAGTTTTAAAGCTTGTGTAAGTCATGTTCACTTAAATCAGATTTACACTTTCCAGTGCTGGGAAACCAGCTTTGTTAGTCCACATGATCCTGGCTTTTATTTTGGAAGACAGGTGAATAGAAGATTCAAGCAGATTATAGAGTATTGGGATAATGCCTGCCTCCTGTGTTCTGTGTGCTCACAAATAAAAGTCTTCCAAATTTGAATATTACTATGGTGATATTAGCAAACTCTTGAGTCTGTGGTCAGTACAGAACATAGCACAGTACCTGTTAGATAACAGATGGATCAGTTATTTTCTGAATTAATGCGTTGTACCAGTGCTGATACATGTGGATACGTGAGGGTTTCTGGTGATGCAGAATTACCACTGCTTGTCAAAATTTGACCCAGATAATCAGTGTCTGGGGAGAACATCTGTCTCTTTTCGCCATGCTCCAGATAGACGTGATTATACCCGAGAGACCGTAGAATCTGCTGAAAGGAGTGCCATTCTGGGGTCGGGTCACAAAATAAAAGCAGCAGTATTATAGCTACCATTTACTGAATCAGTGTTCTGTCCCAGACACGATGCAAGGTGCATTATGACATTATCCCTAATGCACTTAAATGGAAGCTATTTTGGAGTGTTGCTACTTGCAGTTTAGGTGGGTGATCTTAAGTAGAATCGTCGTTAAGTGCGGTTGAGTTGGTTCCAACTCATAACAACCCTGTACAGGGTTCCCAAGGAACAGCTAGTGGGTTTGAACCACCGACCTTGTCATTGACAGTCCAGTGCTGATCCTCCAGTGCCACAGCAGGAGTCCTTCTTGCTTGGATTTTCTTAACTGAGGGGTGGTCTCCCCCTCATGCTTATCATGAAGAAGAGCCCTGAGTTCTCCAAAAGTAAAGATGTTGTTTTTATGGCCATTGCACATGTTTCATCGTCATAATGGCGAGTACACACTTGCCTTCTCTGTTGGTCCCAGGAATGGTTGCTGTTTCATGGCTTCTGAGTTATTGCCACATACCAAATGCACAAATGCAATTGAGTGAGGATGCCTTGTACTCATGACCTATGACTTTTTTTTTTTTTTTTTATGTGAAAATTTGGGAGTTAAGGAATATGTTTGTTTTGGGTGGGGATGGTGATAGATATTTTTCCCCTAGGAAATGACGCATACAAGATTTTTTTTAAGAGTTACAACGTTGGGTGTGGGTATGGGGAGCTGGAGTAGAAAGAATCTCAGGAATGTTTCCTTATATGTTTTTTTCTTCTGTTGATTTCTAGTCTTTACAACCTGGCCTCCCTGGAACTGAGAGAGAATCTTCTTACGTATCTTCCCGAGTGAGTCTTTGGGGAAAGTAAGAGGGAGTTTTGTCTTGAGTAGATCTTGACATGCATCAACTTCTAGCATTGAAAAAGAAAAAAAGTACTAATGTTTTGTCAGAATAAGACCCTGTGTTATTTTAAAAGCTTGGACGATGTAACTTTTCTTGAAATATTGTTCCAAAGCAGTGGTTTATTTTCCTAAAAATCAAAAGAAACTTATTTTTGAGCAGTTGCCCAAGTGAGGAATATTCTATATTTCTGCATTTCTAAGCTCTAAGTATATTGCTTGATTGACTACCTCTCTCCCCTCCTTTTTTGTTTTTTGTTTTTAAATAGTTCTCTTACCCAGCTACGGAGACTAGAAGAACTTGATTTAGGAAACAATGAAATATATAATTTGGTAAGTCTGTGTAAAAGGTAGATTCGAATTCAGCGTATCCTTAGTTATGATCAGGAACCCTGGTGGTGGTGTGGGTTCAGTGTTGGGCTGCTAACTGCAAGTTCAGCAGTTCAAACCCACCAGCTGCTCCGCAGGAGAAGGATGAGGCATTTTGCACCCATAAACATTCACAGTCTCAGAAACCCCATATTAGGGTTGCTGTGTGTCGGAATTGACCCAGTGCTAGTGGGTTTGAGTTTCAGTTTTGATCACAAACCATATCAGGAAGTGTGTATGGATTATAGGCTTATAGACTGATGTTTCTACAGGTCTGACTTGGGAACATTAAAAGAATGTCCTTCATTTCACACAGGTTAAGAATTACGGTTTGGGTGAGGTTAGGGGACAGTGTTGTCAAGATACAGGTAGATAGAAATGAAAACTGTCATGCCTAGGGAAGGCGATCTTGATATTCGAGAAGTACCAACAAATTTTTGCTACACTATGCAATTATTGGAGTCCTGGTGTGGTGTTGTGAGTTAATGCGCTAGACTACAAGGTCGGTTTGAACCGCAAGGTCGGTGGTTCACGCTCACAACCACTCCTTGGAAACCCTATATAGGGTCGCTATGAGTTGGAACCAACTCAGTGGCACTTAACAACAACAACAACAGCAAGGTGTGGTGCTATAGGATAAGTACGGGGCAGCAAGGTCAGTTGGTGGTTCAAACTCACTAGCCTCAGAAACCTTATACAGGGTCACTATGAGTCGGAACCGATTTGACAACGCTTAACAACAGCAACAGTATCCAGTTTTGCTGTGAATTAGTATTCTGCCTTTCTTAACAGAAGACTGAGCTTTAGGTGTTTGTTGCCCTAACATTATGTTCATTGTTTTAGCCAGAATCAATCGGAGCTCTCATGCATCTAAAGGATCTCTGGCTGGATGGGAATCAGCTGTCAGAATTACCTCAGGTGAGTGGTAATTTCTTAATGTCTTCCCCAAAATATAAACAACCACCACCACAGTAAACCTCATGTATTCTTTGCTGTTGAATAAAAGTGATCTTCAAAACCAAAAAACCGTGATTGAAAAATTCAGTTAGAGAAGTATGTTGAGTATTCATCTTTCAACATTGCCATAGGAAAATTGAAAACTGAAGTCCACAATTTCTAAGTGAATATGTCCTATAGTTTGTGAAGTCTGTATTGTATTTCACCCTTACCACTCAGCATCTTACCTCCAGCCTAGCAGATTTATACATCACCAGGACCCATCCTTCTGACAGTATACATTTCTGTCACCTTATGTGATGTGCCAGGTGTTTTGGAATAAATTCAGCTACCTTTTATCCAGCAACAGTTAATCTAAAAGCAATGTTAAAAGCTTTTCTTTCCTTCTATTTCCGCCCCCCCCCCCCGCCCCCCAAATATTGCTTATAGTGTAACTGGCATGTTATGGTGTCCAAGTTTTTCCTCCTGTTGTCAAGTATGAGAACCATGTTCCAAATGGAGTTTTGTACAGACTCTTGAACACACAGTCACTTTCTGGAAATCTAGTGAGCAGGGCTGCTTTTATTCCAGTAACCGGAGAGAAAAATCCTTTTAAAAGAAAATTTTTTTTCAAAAGAAGCAAGCCTCCCTAAACAAGCATTTTTGTGTTCCATTGTCGCCTGTTATTTTATTTGACTCTAACTTTTATTGAATTTTCATTCTTTGGCACATCTTGCAGCCAAACTGTGAAGTCAGCATGCATTTCTGGCTGATTGTTGTCATTGTTAAGTGCCTTCAAGTCGGCTCTGACTCATAGCGATCTTGTATAGGGTTTCTGAGGAGCAACTGGTGGATTGGAACTACCAACCTTGCAGTTCAAACCAACCTGTGGTCCAGTGCTTATCCTCCTAGAATGGACATGGGAGGAATGGTCAAGACCCAGAGTCCCAGAGACTGAGCCAACAGTCCCGATAAGAAAGTAATGAAAGTAGAAAATAGGGGCAGTGGAAATGGCAAGGTAGAGGTAAATACAAGAGACATCTTCTTAAAAAAAGAGGCCTTCTATGATTGGAAGGTAAGGTACTGTTTAAATTGAATGTTAATGTCATTGAAGTACTTTTCCAATACTAGATAGACTGTTTTCTTAGTAAGTAAGTAGCACACTCATCTTTTCTGTTGATATCCAAGGTGTCAGTGGGTTTCTGTTTACCCCAGCTTTGCCAAGGAGCAATTGCATTGATGTTTGTGGTAACAAGTACTTCCTGTCCCTGGTGAATAATATTAAATAGGTGGTTTCTTACCAGAGAAAATCCCAGGGTCACCCTGAAATGTAAGCTGCTTACTTGTGATTGATTCCAACCTTGGGAAACTGGATTCTAGCCTCCTTTTCCCCTAATCATGTGACCTTGAAGTCAAATCATCTGTACTTACTTGACACCAGTCTCCTTTATTACATGAGAACGATTCCTTACTCACCTGAAGGTGGAGGGCTTGGCATCCCGCCCAGCTCCCTATCTATGATTCATGCAGCTTCCCAGTTTCATTAGAAGGACGTCTGTGAACTTACACCCGCTTTCACATTTAGACATATACTAAAGATTACAGCTTTGGGACTATGCTGGGATACGATTGCAAAAAAAATCATTGTAACTGAGTCCTCTCTACTGTGACAGGTTGAAACATGAGTCTCCTTTTTCTATGTCACTGATGTAGGAAATAGGAAATCTGAAGAACCTGCTTTGCTTGGATGTTTCAGAAAACAGGTTGGAACGACTTCCTGAAGAAATTAGTGGCCTGACTTCATTAACAGATTTAGTCATTTCACAGAACTTACTAGAAACGGTTCCCGATGGCATCGGTAAGTACTGAACACAGCTGACACCTGACGACAGTGGTAGTTGTCTTAGGCATTTGGAGCACAATCACCCTTCTCTCACCACTCCCAGGCCTGGGGATGTAGCTCCTGAGAGTCTTCCCATTGTTTGTTTGCTTTTAAAGAAAGAAACCAATGGATAACTAATGCAATTATAAGTTTCTCCGAGTGCACGTATTCCTGTTGTCTTGGTTGGGTAGCAATTACATGAATTATTACTTAAAAGCGCTGACTCATATCCCCTTCATCGGCAGCTTGTCTCAATGATTTCAGCAGAGGTTAAGCCCAAATAATAGAATGTGTTTAAGGCATATGAGCAATCACTGAGAAATTTCTTATTCAACATCCTAAGTAGTTTATGAGAAAATAACTTTGACTTATTGCATGACGTAAGGAGGAGGCTGTTAAAGGAAACTTGTTGTGCTTAAACTGAACCTTTTCAGTACATCAAGGACAGTCCTTTGCCTTAATAATTTTATGCTGTTTCCTTTAAAAAAAAAAAAATCAGTCCAGACAATTTCCTTCAGTTTAAAGGAAATTGTGAGAAAATAAACTTCAATCTAGTTTGAGAAAATAAACTCAAATACAGTGAGGATAAACAGACATGGATTGGCACTCCCGCCTTAGCGAAGCTACTTCAGAAACTATCTTTAACCCCACAGTTGTTACAAGATTGTAGGCTTTGACCTTCATTTATCTTTCATTCAAAACACCACAAGAAGTGTTTGAAAGATTTTCAATAGCTGGAATAGCTGTGTGGCAGGGGATCGCTTCCTTCTTGTATTTGGTCAAGATGAAAGTGGTAATGGATAATAGCAACTCAGTAGAAATACAGACATTGTCTTTTTGCTAAGGCCAGTTACAAAATTTACGGGAACTCTGCAAGTCTATGTAGAAATGTTTAGTGAGAATTAAATGCGTCATCTGGAAGCAGTTGTAGGCACTGGGGGTATTTTGCTTGGACCAGGAAAAGGTAGAAGATAGATGGCTGACTTGGTAAAATTTGAGAGACAGTTGGTTAAGACTTGGCTGCAGACAGCAAGGTCAGTGGTCCAAACCCACCAGCTACTCCATGGAAATCCTATACTGGGTTGCTGTGAGTCAAAACTGACTTGATGGCACGGAACAACAACAATAGGAAGCGGCAGGAGACATGACTGACTTTGAAGCAGGTTGAGGAGCGGTGATTAAACATTTGGCTAATTCTTTCTCTTCAGGAGAAAAATGAGGCAGTCTGCTTCCACTAAGATTAGCAGCCTTGGAAACCCTATGGGGCAGTTCTGCTCCTTTGTGTAGCATCTGTGTGAGTTGGAATCAACTCAGCACACAACAGCAATGACAGAGTACAAATGGCCCCTGGGTAGTGCAGTTTGCATTAAACTAACCTAAAAGTTGATGGTTGAAATCCTTCCAGCAGTACCGCTCACTGATAGAGACTTGGCGATCTGCCTCCTAACAGATTCCCACCAGCAATACCATGGAGCAGTTCTACTCGGTAATACATGGGGTCGCCATGAGTCAAAATCCACTCAAAAGGCAACAGGTTTAGCAGCTTGGTATAATAGAAACTGGCAGAAAGGATTGTGGATTTCAATTTCAGAAAGCACTTATTTTTTAAAGAAAGAGACTTGTTACAAATTAGATTTGGCTGCTTAGTGAAGAAATGAGTACCTGTTAGTACAAGTATTCAAGGAGAGGCTTTAAGACCGCTTGCCAGTAGTACTGTTAAGGAGCCCCATCCTCTGTCGGGGTGAGGTGAGACGTATTACCTCTGAATGTTAATGTTTCTCCTGAAAGTGAGGGCAGGTGAAAACCCTTGGGGGACAGGTTATTGATTATGCTAAATAGAGCTTAAGAAGCATTTACTGCCTCTACCTTTCCCTGTGGCTGCACAGGAGGCAAGCTCATTCTTTCAGTGGCATAAGACCCTTTCCTCCACTATGATGTCTCTGTTACAGTAGAGGCTGTTTTCTCATACCAGTTGCTGCTCTCACAGGATAATGAAGAACACTTGCTTTGTAGTTTGGTCATCTTAGAGTTGAAAGCCAGAGTCAACTGAGTTATGAAGGATTTCATTCACTTAGTGGAGGAACCCTGGTGGCACTATGGGTTAAGCATTGGGCTGCTCACTGCAAGGTCAGCAGTCCAAACCCACCAACCATTCCACATCAAAAGTTAGGTTACCCTACACCTAAGGATTCAGTAGCTCAAAAGAGGAAACAAATCTTTACAGCAAGGATCATTCCCACCCCCTCAATACACAGAGTAGACAGGAATGGGCAACTTGGACATTGGCTACCCAAAATGGGGAGGAGGGGAACTACAAAGGCAAGAAGTGACTGGCTTACAAGCTTTCAAGAGGGAGACTAGATCCAGAGGACGCAGAGGAAGGTAGAGTCTCCACTGAGTTGTATCCAATCTGCCTGGGCGGGACTGATGAAAGGATATGGGAATAGGTCTCTTGTGGTACAATAGTGAATAATTGTTAGCAGGACTGACTGTGAGGGTTGGAAATGTAAAGGTAGACATTTTGTAGCAAAAGGAAGGAAGTGATTGACTTTGCAGTCCAGGAGTGGAGGTTCCTGGGACCATCAAGGGAGAAGAACAGAGTGTGGGACCCTACCCAGAGAAACAGTGATTCTAGAGATGGAGGCAGAGACACTGACTTGGAGAGATGGAGTGGCTGGGAATTCTAGACCCAGAGAGGGAGAGGGGCTGTGTACTGATGACCAGGGGCCAGGCTTTTAGGATATACCTTTTGGTTGGTTGATGATGCATGGAGAAGATTGTAGCCATGGCAATGTAATGATATACAATAGGATGAATGTAAAGCTAACGTTCTCCCATGCAAACTATCACATAATTCACAATAAAAGGTTTTTTTAAAAAAAAAAGCTAGGTTGTCCACTCCTGTGAAGACTTACAGCCTCTGTGATTCAGAACTGACTCAATGGCAGTAGGTTTGGTTTGATTTTCACTCAGTGGAGACTCAGTAAAGCTCAATTCTTTATCTCTGTAGCCTGTAGACATCACCAGAAAGTTGAATATTCCTGCCTTGGGTAAAATAAACTCAGACCTCATTGTGGCTTTTCAAAGGTGACCACCCTATTCTGTGTATAGAGAAAAAATTCATTATAAGGATTTTGTCTGAGTCAGATATTTATTCATACGTGCTTATCCTATAGTCCTGCTGTGGCGCTATAATCACAAGGTCAGCAGTTAAAACCCATCAGCTGTTCTCAGACACCCTATACAAGGTTGCTATGAATCAGAACCAACTTGATGGTACACACCAACAAGAAGAAGAAACTGCAATTTAGTGTTTTTAGTAAAAGTAATTCTTGGAATACAATTAAAGTGTCTCCTCTCTCTCATCCCTACATGAAGTATCTCCTGCTCTTAAAGATCCAGCAAGAGCCAGCTGCCTGGTTTTCTTTTCTGGCTTTGTGTTAGGATATTTTTAGGTAGAGCCTTTTAAAACGATTTGCTGCTAATTGCTGACTGTTTTTGATGTTCTGAACAAATTATCTCAACTCTCAACTTTGAGTGATCTAAATGAGCATGATAATAGTTTCATAATTAAAAAAGCTGAGTGGGGAAACTTACTGTGTAAAACAAACAAAAAAAGAACAGCAGATAGTAAATATCAAATGGTGATTATGGGGAAATTGTGGCTAATGAGTTTTAATAACACTTTCACAGGAAAACTGAAGAAACTGTCCATCTTGAAGGTGGATCAGAATCGACTCTCCCAGTTGCCTGAGGCAGTTGGGGATTGTGAAAGCCTCACAGAATTGGTTCTGACAGAAAATCGGCTCCTGGTGAGTGTGGTTTATGTATGCAAGTGGATATGTAGTGTGTGGATTCTGTATGGCAGAGGACGGATGAGGGTAGATCCCCCTGTTTGCTAGTACATGAAGATCAGTATTTGACCTGTGTCAGAGAAGAAAGCCATGCTGAGGATAGACTCTAGCTGTGTTCCCTACAATATGGGGCCTGAACTGACACCCTATGAATTCCCCCGGGAGAGTGTAGGGACACTGTTGGTACAAGTGGTGATGATGCCTTTCCTGTGGTGGCCACAGACCACCAAGCGAAGCATTGTTGTGGGGTTCATCTGGGCTCTTCCTAAGTTCTTTGAGGAAATGGGAAGAACAGGAGAGAAGGAGAAGAATTGGTGGCTTTCCAGGGAAAGGCTAGGTGGGATTGGAGCTAAGGAATGCTCATTTGAGCGGAACTAAAGAGTGGTAACTGATGGGCTTTGTTTGAGGCCGCTTCTTACTCAGACTTTGGTAGTGTTTGGAAGGCAAGAGGTGGGCCTCAGGCTTCCCACACATGGGCCAGCCTTCCAACCCTACAAGCGCAAAAGGCCGACACCGGGCATTCACCACCCACCAAGGGTAAATTAGCTGAGTGGCAGCAAATGCTGCTTCCTCTTTCCTCAGCCTTGCATTTATTCATCATCTTCTCCTCTTTCCTCCTTTGAGCAATCTGGTCGATTTCCTTTTTAACTTATTCTCTCATACCTTTCTCTTTTCCTTTCTCCATGCTCATTTTGTCATCTGCCTTTTCTTTTCCTTTTTCCTTCATTCCCTTTTTGCCTTCTTTAGAAAAAAAAAAAGGGTAAGTAATTCTCATTAGAAGAAAAAAGGTAGCAAGATTGGGTCAAAGACACAAGGATTGGGAAGTCACCCAGCAGTATCTCCTCAGGTAGCCCAGGGAGCCATGCTCTGGGAGGTGGGGTGGATGTCACCAAATCTCCCTGTCCTCACCAGCTCTGCTCACCTTTCTCCCACCTTCATGCAGCACTGTCTCTTCCCTGGCCTCCTGATACCCCCTGCTCAGGATTCCGCTTCCCTGCCCAGCACTCTGCCTTCCACAGGCATCGTAAACCTCAGTGCCATGCAGGGAAGGAATGAATACTGGGGGTACAAATGCTCACTCAAGTTAAAGAGTATCCATCTACTTATTCCTTAGTAGCTATGTCTCTATTCCCTTGTGTAACCCTTTGACTTCATTATATTGAAACGCGATTTCAACAAACATCCAAAATACTCAGTTCTCCAGCCCCCAAGTGAGTATTACCAATGTCTTGATTCCATTTCAGGGACTGTTTCCTCTCTTGCTGGATGAGATTGTGTTCTTTAAGTTCCTGAAAATATCTATTGTAAAACTATGCACCATGTTTAAAAGATGCTGTAGATTAATAGTGAAAATATTATTTTAACAGACTTTACCTAAGAGCATTGGAAAACTTAAGAAGTTGAGCAACTTGAATGCAGACAGGAATAAATTAGTGTCTTTACCAAAAGAGGTATGTGCATTTAAAGAAATCCTAATGCTGTCAACACACAGGAGGGATAAAAAAAAAAAAATGTACAATGCTTTGAAACATTTAATGTTGTACTTTTAAGATATGAACTGTCGTATGAGTATAAAACTAGAAGCTAGAGATGGGGCTGAGTGTTTTCTGTTAGTGCTGCAGGCAGGAGGAAAACGTCCATCAGCACCCACCATGGACAGTTTGATTCGAGTTATTTTATCCAAAAATGATCGTCATTGACTTTAAAGAGACTAGGTGAGTCCTGATGACTGAGCAGTGTTGGGAAGGGTGAATACATATGCTTTTAAATGGGAGGAAGAGAGATCGATGATTTGGGTGTGACATACAGAGAAGAGTGGTCCTGTTTACAGCAATGCATAATTTGGGTAGTTGGGGAGAGGCAGTGGAAGACTTTAGGTTTGATTTCTGAGATTAAATTAAATTCTGTCCCCCTCTCCCTCCAAAAATAAAAACAAAACACACATTGGGGTTGAATCTGTTGTGATTCATGGTGACGACCCCTTGTATTAAAGAGTAGAATTGTTCCATAGGCTTTCCAGTGGCGGAAATTTTAGATCCCCTTTATTTCATGGTATGGCGAGGAACATTTAAAATGCCAGCCTTTCAAACACAAATGGTTAGTGCCACCCAGGACCCTCCTGTCCCTTAGGCCATTGAAATTATAAACAGGGATCTCGCTGGATGTGCTCATATCCATAATGAGAGTGAATGAACTCATCACCAAGGTGTGCACACTTACGGAGGAAGGCCAGCAGGATGGGGCTGAATGCTTTCTGTTAGTGCTGCAAGCAGGAGAAAAATGGGGCTGAATGCTTTCTGTTAGTGCTGCAAGCAGGAGAAAAATGCCCATCAGCAACCACTATGGACCGTTAGAGGCACTCAGGAGGGCTGGCAGGGGGCTGGAAATGCTGGCAATGGGCAGAAAACCCAGAGTCCAAGGGTGAGTCAAAAATTATCCGCACTCCAGTTATATTAAAACACCCAGCCATGTCCACAGCTGGTGACAACCTTGAGCATGCATGTGAAATGATTCCATGGAAATACACAAGTGACAGTGGATTCTGTGGCAAATCATTTGCAAATAAGCCATGGCTGTGCCTGTGAAATAATCCAGGCAGACTTAGGTTTCAAAAAGTTTGTGCAAGATGGGTACTGAACCCACTCTTGGAAGAGCATAAACCAGAAGCATTTGGACATCCGCAAACAAAATTTGGACCGATTCTCTAAGAAAGGTAAAAGTTTCTTTTAAACAAATCCGTTACTGACAAGGCATGGATTCATCACTGTGAGCCTGAGAGTAAACGGCAGAGTATGGAATGGAAATATCCTCAACTACCAACCAAGAAAAAGTTCAAAAGTCAAACATAACTGAAAAATTGATGATCACAGTTTTCTGGGATTCTCAAGGCCAGTACTGGAACACTGTCAGGAAAAATCAGCAATCAGTAGTGCTCATTACAGTGAGATGCTGCTCTCTGAAGAGCTGAAGCCTAAACTTCAGATTAAACCCAGAGGACTGCTATCCAAGGACATTGGGATCTTGCATGACAATGCACGTCCACACACCTCTGTCTACACTGTTGACACTCTGCAAAACTTCGTTTTGAGGTGTGAAAGCATCCTCCCTATCCTGATTTTACTCCATTGGACTTTTACCTGTATGGTCCCCTGAAAGCAGCCCTTCGAGGATGAAGATTCACGTCTGATGAACAAATGGAGATAGCAGTGCATTCGTGGGTCATAGCTCAGCCTAAAACATTTTTAGTAAGGAAATACAAAAGCTTGTCAACAGATGGACAAAGTGTACTGAAAAGCAAGGAGATTATGTTGAAAATGATGTATTTATCTTTTCTCAAAGTCGATTAAATTCTACAGCCAGCGTACAGATAATCTTTGACTCATGTGGTAGATCAAACCAGCAAGTATCTAGCACCCTGTTAAAAAAGAGGGCTTACTTTCTACTTGAAAGTAGAAGGATTTGATTTGGGAAGGGGAATACTGAGTTTGATATTTTATTAGTAGTAGATCCTGAAACTAAGTTTAAGCTTTGCCTGGGGAGGTAGGGGACTGGGCATTAAATGAGCTGTTGGTGAATCACTTCCCTTTGGCTGGAACCTCACATGAAAAGATGTGTCTCCTTCTCTAATAGAGATTGCCAGCCAGGTACAGTGTTTATTTTTTACCCTTGCCAGTATCTATCTGGGAATAATTTTAATGCCTCTACTCAGCCAGCCAGAGCTTGAGAGGGTCTTGTTTTCCTAATGCCCCTTACTGGGATGTCTGAACTTGATTTGGCTTCCTCTTTCCTTTACTCTACTTGGTGCTCTACCCTGAGTTCCCATCTTCTCTCAGGGTAGACTTCATTGTGATCGGCATTTCTTTTAGACCCGCCAGTGTTACCCAATGGAAGCATGAGGATATTTGTTGTAAATGGGACATCCTGAATCTCAACACTGGTATCTAAATGAAACTCTTTCCAGAGAAAGGCTTAAGGCTACATCCCAGTTAAAGCAGGACACAACTACCAGACTCTACTAATCAAAATATTTTGGCTCTTGTCTCTAAGCAATAAACCAAAACATGAAGCTGATAGTCACAACATTAATTTGACTCCTGTTGACTAGCACATGTCGATGGGAAATAGATTGGCCACATGCACACGCCCAAGGAAGTAGGAAGAGTTCACTGCATTCTTTCCTAGCACTTTCCTGTGTATGAACTCTGACTTCTCAGAGCAGCTTTGCAAGGCTGTGATGATCTCTTCCTTTGCCAGATGAGGAAACAGGCCCGGTGAGAAGGTTTCCTTACCAGGACTCACACAGTGAGGGCTTGATAGAACTGGCCTCTGAAGAGGAGTCTTCTGACAGTTCGCCCACTGCTCTTTCAGTGGCCAATAAAAACATGACAGCTTGTCTGTGTGGTCGGGAGGTGAGGCAAGACCATAGTTTGGTAAACATAGTTCACATTATCTTTACTTTGAACATTTTAGAAAATTAACAATACATTTTAGAAATTGTTTCACGGGAAAAGCTAATCAGAGCACTTTTAAGTTTCATGTTTCACACTCCTTCGCTCCACCTCACTTACCCAGTCTTCTCTTTAAATAGTCTCTCTCTGCTCACAGGTGCACACTCTAGACATGAACTTGAGGATTGTGTTTCTACAGAACCATCACTTTAAAAGTGAAACTCAACATTCCATCGCTGCTGCTTCTCAGAGGGTTGCACCTACTATGGGCTGTGTGTCCACTGAAATTTACGAGAACAGCTTTTTATGGTGTGAAAAGTGAAAATATGTTTCACTTCAAAGTATTTCAACTATCATATTTTGTCCATTTCTGGGAAATGATGATTGGCTTTCTGGCACCTAGAGCTTTATAAAGGAACAAAGTCTGTGCCTTTTCCCTTAGCTGCTGGATCGAGCTAATAATGAATGTTTAAACTGTTAGGGATTGGATTTTTTCTAGCATGCTTTTTCTCCTCCTCAGACACACTCGGCTCCCAAGGGAGGAAATGCACTGAACGCGTTTCCAGTTCTGCTGTGGGTCAGCTTGGTAACCCAGCCCAAAAGGTTGAGTGCTTGCTTCTGGCTATCGATAACCCCCTAACTTTGTAGTGTACACTGATAGATGTGCCACGAGAGCCCCTACTTTGTATTTTATACTGAGATCTGTGCCATGAGAGACCCACATTTTGTATTATACTCTCAGCTGTGTACTATGAACAGCCCCTCACTTTATAGTGTACAGTCAGATGTGTACCACGAGAGCCTGACTTTGTATTGTACACCGACATACATGAGAGCCTTCTGCCTTGTATTGTACATTCAGATGTGTACCATGCAAGCCCCCCTCCTTGTATATACTCTCTGAGAGCCCCCATCTTATATAGTACTACAGATGTGTACCATGCGAACTCCCCATATTGTATTTTACACTCTGATGTGTTTCACAAGAGCACCCTACCTTGTATTATACACTGAGGTATGTACTATGAGAGCCTTCTGCCTTGTATTGTGCCTTCAGATGTATGTGATGTTGTACACTCAGATGTGTATCAAGAAAGCCCCCTCCCCATCTTGTATTCCTCAGCTGTGTACCCTGAGAGCCCTTAACTTGTACTCTCAGATGTGTACCATAAGCAGCCCCTCCCCTTGTATTATACACATACATGTGTAGCACAAGAGCCCCACCTGGTATTGTACGCTCCAGTATGTACCATCTGAGCCCCCACCTGATATTGTGCACTTTTGATGTGGACCATAAGAGTCCCCCACCTTGCTTGCATCAAGTGTGTCTGGGTGGCACCATCATGTCACGAGTCTCTGTGCAGTGAGTGTGGTAGGCATGTGACTGCCTGTGTCCACACATGCCTCTGTGCCCTACTTCCAAGCTTGCTACCATCTGATCTAATCCTGCCCTTTTATGATTTGATTCTTTTGCTTTAAAAATATATGACTGTCACTTGAACAATCAAGTCGCATGCATGCCCAACCTAAACTAAAGTGCTGACCGTGTCGTTTATATGCCAGAAGCCTATAGTAGCAAGAATTGCCATTGGCCTTGTTCACTGTGCTGGTCTTCCTTGTCTTTGTCTTTTCTCTTTTGAGATTGGATGGTATTGTGTATTACCAGGTTTATGGCACAGCTCCTAAGTCTGTAGCAGCATTTAGTAGCATTTTCCCCCCAGTGGCAAAGGGGGAAAACATTTGTACTGTGTGGGTCACAAGAATGGATTCTGTTTGTGTTTTGTGGTGTTACTTGCAGTAAACATTTGCAAATCAATGAATGTCTCTTGTTTTCTTAATTGTTAGCTGCTTGGAAATTTAGAAAAGTCAGGTAATCTTGTTGTATTGTAAATATTGTTCAGACCACAGTTGCATCTCGAACTCCGATTTTGCTTCTTAAATGCATGAAGATTCAGATTGGCTGACTGCTTTATGTATTCTTCATTGTAAAATATTAGACATTT